TTGAACATTCAAAAATTTTGGAATACCTGTCGAACTTGACTGCGCATTAATTCAAGCCGATTATTTGCTGAGTTTTAGCTGCATCACGGCATAAGAGATTATTTTTTAATGGCAATATTATATGAAAAAGGCATTATAAATACCAATCCATATACATAATCTTTACTATAGAAAACACAGCACAATAGATAACCGGTTCCATCAATAAACTCGAATGAAGTTCAAGTAAAAATAATGTATACCGGATTTTGCAAATAGAAATCTCTCAAAAAGGTACACAAAAAACCGAGTATACACATGACTTTTTAACACATCCTCGAGAGAAACAATCTGATCAACTAAAAGAAATTAATTAGTACAAATATATAATAAAGTATCACGTAAAGTTAAGAGCATATTTTACAAAATTTCCTAAAAGCTGTTTTGGACATGTCTATATAAGTGTTTGAATGCTGTCAAAAAATTTGATCTCCAAAAGAGCTTCCAGATAAAGCCTGCACAAAATTTAGCTTCTAAAAAATACTCTTTTAACCAGAGTTTAAATAAGATATTATAGGCTCCATTCTAACATTTTTATTTTTTATTAGAAAATTTAAAATATTTTTAAAATATGGTTCTAAATAATTACTGAAAAACTGTAGCTTTTATTTTTTTTTTTAATTTCATCTGCTGATTATAAACAAAAACAAACGTTCCGCCAAATGAACCCTTAAAATATGTGAGTTTCTACTAATTCTGAAATTAGCTCCCTTTACAATTTTCCACTCCCTCTTTTTTTTTTTTTTTTTTTTTTTTTCCTTTGGAGGGAATACCATTTCCTCAATTGATTATTCTCTCTACAAAACCAAAACGTAATCCAAATTTTCCTCACCCGCAATTTTTTTTTTTTAGGGGACCCGCAAATATTATTTCTTCCTTATCACTGCATAATTTTACTCGCGTAATGCTTAGTATATATAGGGAGTACTATCTCAATATCACTTAAACCAAAATTTACTTCAATAAGATTAAGACATAATATATTTTATAATCAACATATCTAATTATGATTTGCCAACTAATTACTTGGCCAGAAAATATCGAACCCAGAGCACACAAATTCCGTTGGCGACTGATCACTCAACCAAATCAACGAAATCGTGATCAATTAATCATGATATCATGATCATGTGCCAATATTGTGGCTTTAATACTGAGTTAATGGCTCCAACTGTGTTGTTTTATGCAAACTCAAAATACGGAACCCACATTTGGAAGCAAAGTCTACTATTGTGAGGCCAAATCGCGCGTGCTTTGTGAATAAAAACTTTCCTTTTGTTGTCCAATCAATACATGTGCTTAGCTAGCTCTTCTTCTTCTTCTTCTTCGGCTTGTTAAGTCAGTGGGTCACTGTCCACAAGTAGCTAGGAATGGGACAAGATGATCAAACCCACCAAACTTTAATGAACAAGATAGGGTACATTAATTAGGTTTTTTTTTTTTTTTTTTTTTTTTTTTTTTTTTTTTTAATATTTAAATGGAAGATTCTTGACATATATACTTTGCATTTCTACGTACCTAGAAACTGCATCAATAATTCTATACCCCTACATTAGTTGTATGTGACAAGTTGAGTTTTTCTTGTTTCTTATTCATTTATTTATTTATCTTAAAAAGGATTGGGTTTTTTCTTTCATGGTATATATTTACTATTTAGAACTCAAAATGGGCATATACAAAAATAGTCCAAAAAAAAAACGCGACAACAAAATGGTGCATGACAAAACGCAGATGCTATTCAATATTGTCAATTATTGATGACCAGGTACCATATTGGCGTTCCAAAAATCGCTTAGTTTTTTTTTCTTTATTTATTTTTATTTCTTCACCAGTCACGGCAATGGCGGCCCCCTATCTTGGACATTGATGTAGCTTTAATTTTTTTTTAATTTCATCTGCTGATTATAAACAAAAACAAACGTTCCGCCAAATGAACCCCTAAAATATGTGAGTTTCTACTAATTCTGAAATTAGCTCCCTTTACAATTTTCCACTCCCTCTTTTTTTTTTTTTTTTTTTTTTTTTCCTTTGGAGGGAATACCATTTCCTCAATTGATTATTCTCTCTTCAAAACCAAAACATAATCCAAATTTTCCTCACCCGCAATTTTTTTTTTTTTAGGGGACCCGCAAATATTATTTCTTCCTTATCACTGCATAATTTTACTCGCGCAATGCTTAGTATATATAGGGAGTACTATCTCAATATCACTTAAACCAAAATTTACTTCAATAAGATTAAGACATAATATATAATTTTATAATCAACATATCTAATTATGATTTGCCAACTAATTACTTGGCCAGAAAATATCGAACCCAGAGCACACAAATTCCGTTGGCGACTCACTCAACCAAATCAACGAAATCGTGATCAATTAGTCATGATAACATGATCATATCAAGATCATGTGCCAATATTGTGGCTTTAATACTGAGTTAATGGCTCCAACTGTGTTGTTTTATGCAAACTCAAAATATGGAACCCACATTTGGAAGCAAAGTCTACTATTGTGAGGCCAAATCGCGCGTGCTTTGTAAATAAAAACTTTCCTTTTGTTGTCCAATCAATACATGTGCTTAGCTAGCTCTTCTTCTTCTTCTTCTTCGGCTTGTTAAGTCAGTGGGTCACTGTCCACAAGTAGCTAGGAATGGGACAAGATGATCAAACCCACCAAACTTTAATGAACAAGATAGGGTACATTAATTAGGTTTTTTTTTTTTTTTTTTTTTTTTTTTTTTTTTAATATTTAAATGGAAGATTCTTGACATATATACTTTGCATTTCTACGTACCTAGAAACTGCATCAATAATTCTATACCCCTACATTAGTTGTATGTGACAAGTTGAGTTTTTCTTGTTTCTTATTCATTTATTTATTTATCTTAAAAAGGATTGGGTTTTTTCTTTCATGGTATATATTTACTATTTAGAACTCAAAATGGGCATATACAAAAATAGTCCAAAAAAAAAACGCGACAACAAAATGGTGCATGACAAAACGCAGAGGCTATTCAATATTGTCAATTATTGATGATCAGGTACCATATTGGCATTCCAAAAATCGCTTAGTTTTTTTTTCTTTATTTATTTTTATTTCTTCACCAGTCACGGCAATGGCGGCCCCCTATCTTGGACATTGACCTCGTTGTGTTAGGACCATCTTGTTTAAAAAAGAAGAAAAAAAAAAATTGCAGAGAGAGTACCTGTTTCATGTGGTGGGCTCTTCTTGCCCTATTAAAATTTTCATTCAAAAGTCTTATTGTGGCCTAGAATAATTCAGTTTTTGTAAGTTTTGTGTCATACACATACGTATATATGCACACAACATACACACACACACAAAAAAAAAGTACCATAGTGAAGAAAATAAATAAAAAATATATAGGGCGCGTTTGTATCGGTTATTATTTGCTGATCGTGAAAAGCTTTTGACGACGATTAAACAATGACATCAAAAGTTACGACGTCAGTTTTCGACCAATGTCCTAAACTGGGACTTACCACACGCCCCTGGCTTCAAATTGACATCATAGGCATTTCACCATATATACATTTGAAACATGGTGAAAGCAATCTTGTTGTAGTGGCAGTGACTTTTTGTGTATTTATTTTTATGAAATGGGTACTTTTGTACATCTTTTAGGGTTGTTTCTCATTACTTTTTTTTGTTTTCTTATTTATTTATTTATTTTTTGTCATTGTGTCCGGTTTCTAAAATTTCTTGGTGATTTTGTTTTGTTTTTCCCTTTTGAGAAATTTGAAAGGAAGATTTACTTCTTGATCTTCTTTAATATAAAAAGTTTATGAAATGACTATTGTGTAATTATCTACATCATTTCATGGATATCGTTGAAATGATAGTTGAAGTTACAATATATTTTCTTCGTGATTTATTCAGCGAAAATTCCTTATAACCCATATGTCCATATAACATCACTAATAAACTCTAGGATTGGACTTAATTGGGGTCACTTCACTACGGCTTTAATCGAAATTAGCAAAAAAAAAAAAAAAAAAAAACCCACACACCAACATGTGGTGTGTGTATATATATATATATATATATATATATATATATATACACACACACATATATATGGCATATATATGAGTTGTATAGTTTCCGCTGCCTAATATTGGTTCATCTATATGGAGTAAGATTGCGGGCTGACATAAAAAAAAAGCGAATTGAAAGACACTGAAAGAAGAGCCAAGAGAAAGAGAGAGTCGCTAACAATAAAAAGCAAATTTCCATGGATAAGTACCAGAACAAAATACTGGCCTGGAGAGAGAAAGGGGAAAGATGAGCTGCACCTCAATAATTATTGATCAGCATTTAGAAATAGGATTTTTTATTTTTACTTTTATTTTAAGTTAAAAAGCAACACATTATAATACAGCGAATGACGTTGATGCTCTCTTCTCTATCTTGGTTATAGTGATCAGAACGGCACATGCCAAACCAACATTACCAGTCTTTTTCTCATCCTTTTTCTTTAGTTTTTTTTTTTTTTTTCACTTCTATTTTTCCTTAACCATCTCCACAACCTTTGTGGTCCGACACTCCTTATCTTATCGCATTCAGTACCTTCACTTTTCATCACTAAACTTGGTCACATCAAACTTTATGGAAGTCCCATTTTTTCCTTTCTCTCCCTAAGTTGAATTAATCATCCTTTTTTTTTCCTCCTCTCCTTCAAACTCTTTCTAATAATTAATAAGAAATTTGAGCTTGTCCATAATGCATAATATTATCTAACACTTTTAAACGTCCAAAGTGTGTGTATATATATATATATGTATATATCATAATCAAACAAGAGTCGAATAAATGATAAATAAGCACATATTTGACGGGACAAAAACTAATGAAAATGTACTAATCCAAGACATGTACGTATACAAACACAATATTTTGTATCCTCTCAAAATATTCAACGTGAAGTGTCTCTATTCCCCTTTAATAATCTTCCTTTTTCCCACTCCAAATAAGATTCCAAAGACAACCTAACTAAGTGACCAACCAACCAATTTCTTTCCCCCTAACTCCTTTTTTTTTCTCTCTTTTTCCTTCCTCACTAGGGCCACCGCTATACAGTATCACCCTTCCACCCCCACCACCATCACCCCTCTCTTTTTCCCTTTCTTCTCACCTCTCAACCTTTCTCTCTATATCATTCATCCAATCTCTCTTTTCTCCCAAACTCAACTATTCCAACACAAAATTCCATAAACCCTAATTGATCATTCATATTGATCATCATTTCATCACCCAAATTATATTATAATTATACATACCAATGCCATCATCAGTACATTCCAGTCCCTTCTACCAAATGGAGAATCCGGCCATAGTGTCCCTCCTCCGGCACGCCGGGCAGGCGGGCGGGACGACGACCGATCATCAGAAAATCAAGAGACCCTCGGTAGCGAAATCGGCGGGAGGACTCCTGAAGATGTTCAAGCTCTTCCCCATGCTGACGTCCGGCTGCAAGATGGTGGCGCTGCTCGGGAGGCCGAGGAGACCGCTGCTGAAGGACCGGGCGACGACCGGCACGATCTTGGGGTACAGGAAAGGCCGGGTGAGCCTGGCCATACAGGAAGACCCCCACTGCATGCCAATCTTCGTGATCGAGCTCCCCATGCAGACTAGCGCCCTAAACAAGGAAATGCAGGCCGATGACATCATCCGGATCGCCCTAGAGAGCGAGACGAAGACGCACAAGAAGAAGGTTCTGGAAGAGTTCGTGTGGGCCGTGTACTGCAACGGCAGGAAGGTCGGCTACTCGATCCGGCGGATGCACATGACGGAGGACGAGCTTCACGTCATGCAGACCTTGAGAGGGGTTTCCATGGGGGCCGGGGTTCTCCCGAGCCCCGCGGGCGGTGGCGGCGGTGACCAAACGGCGTCGTCCGATGGGGAATTGACCTACATGAGGGCAAGGTTTGAGAGGGTCGTCGGGTCTAAGGACTCCGAGGCCTTGTACATGATTAACCCTGATGGCGCTCCCGGCCCAGAGTTGAGTATTTTCTTTGTCCGGTCTCAGTGAGTGAGGAGGATATTTAATTAATTAGGTTTTTTCTTTTTATTTTTTATTTTTTTGGTTTTGGAATATGTAATATGGGATATTGATACGTGCATAGATATATGATTTTGGGTATTGATTGTTGTAGGATTAGGGTTGTACCTATAAACGGATCACTGATTTTCTCTCTGCAGGAAGAACTGTGATGGATTAATTAATTCATTATAATTTATAAGTTACTGATCATGTATATTAATTGTGTTTGATTTTGGTCTTTATACTGGAGAGATGTTACTTAGTGATAATTCTTTTCGGTGGATTTAATGTTTTTCTTAAACAGAACTATATTAGTTTGAGCTTTCAGATCATCAGATGTGTATGTTTTTGGTCATTTTCTGGCCATTTGATACATGGTACTATATTTGGAGTCACGACACTACTTGTATTGAGCAAAATATAGCCGACATTTTTTGGTTTTATTTTTACCTTTTACCACTTAAACATCTAAAAGTTCATAACACTACTGTTTTGACAAGTTTAAAATTCATCTTTTACACGAACAGAAACACACGGAGCACACTCAATCAAATTCTCAATTTCTATACGTAGTGATCTATCAAATCAAGAAAGAAGAATTTGACTCAAATTTAAATCTACATTACTTTCTTTTTTTACTTGTGTACGTAAGATAATGTATATTTATGCTGAAGCTTTTGCTTCAGGAAATTATATGAATAGGATCTATAAATGCAACAATAGAAATTTGCTCATCTTTTCACGACAAAGATAGGAATTTGAGACTATATATACACAAATAATATTAAGAACGCTAACTTAAATGTTAATTTTTGAGTGCAAACTAATATTGTTTGTAAATTATCATTTTTTTAATAATTAATATAATTTTTTATTATTAATTAACGTAATAATATTTTAAACACTTATTAATATAAAAATCACAACTCAATATCAAATCTGATGGTATAGAAAAGTTAAGACTATATATATATATATATATATATATTTTTTTTTTTTTTTTTTTTTGTGTCTGTGTTAACTGGGAATAAGTGCC